CCCCGACCCCTGTGGTTTCTCGCCTCTTGGTTCACTCAAGGTGCTAACTTTGGTGCACTCGGGACCTTCCACGCCACATGAAGCGGGTTGTGGGGAGGGGGCGTGGAGTCAAACAGAGGGGTGGGTGGCTGGCTGGGCGGGCCCCTCCTCCGCCTGCGCGCGGGAACCGGGCGGGCGGGCCGGGCTTGGGGCAGAGGCGGGGCCCGGGGTGGTGGCCGGGACCTGGACCTGGACGGAGGTAGGGGCGGGGCCCTCCCGACCCCATTGCCCGCCGGCTCCCTCACTGCGCAGGCGCAGTCGTGCGCGCCACGGTCACGGCGCGGCGACCCGTGGGCGGGGCCTGACGGTGTCGCCTCGCCGGGGGGCGGGGAGGGCGTGGCCATCCGGGGGAGGGGCGGGGCCTCACGCCGGCGCCCAAGACTCTGAAGTCCCGACCGGGCAAGGCGGTCCGCGGACGGGGCGGGGCGGGGCGGGGCGGGGCGGGGCGGGGCGGGTGCGGGCGACCCGGAAGGGCTGGCGCCCGGGGTGCCCGTCTGGCTTGGAGGACGGCAGTGCCCACTGCCGTGCACCGGCTCCCTGCCCGGACGGTGGCCGCCAGGATGGGCCGAAGGGTGACCGTGGCCACCTGCGCGCTCAACCAGTGGGCCCTGGACTTCGAGGGCAATTTGCAAAGGATCTTAAAGAGTGAGTGTGAGGCGGCCGGAACGGTGGGAGGTGGCGACGCGCCCTCTAGCCCGGCCTCGCACACAGCCTTGCCTGGGGGAAGCTCGCAGCCCTGGGCGTGGGGGCAGATAGGATTGTGGATGATGACCACGCCTGTACCACGTGCCCAGATCCTCCTAGGGAGTGGGGATGGGACTGTGTACAGTGTCTGGGGACACGTGGCTTATAAGGCAGGGATCAGGAACGAATGGGGGTGGAGGCCTGAGGATGGACCCGTCTTGGATATCTCTGGGGTCCCACCTGGCACGGCTGGGGCCGAGCTGCCCATCCTCCGCAGTGTCTAAGTCGGATGGGGTGGTTGACCACTGGTGAGGATGTGCAGACTCCAGAGATTGGATGGTCTCTGGTCCCTGAGGGAGGGCCTTCCCGGTGGGTGGGCATTGAGAGAAAATGTCCCAAAAGGGGAAGTAGGATGGGGTGAGCCTGCACGCTTGGAGAGTAGTGTGGTTGCTGAGGGTCACCATCTAATTATCTTTTGTGTGCGCTTATACACCTGGGCACCTGTGTACACCTGTGCACACCTGCAGGAAATGGAAAGCAGGGAGAGCTTGCAGGGCTGATCCCAAGCACCAGGGAGGAGGGAGTTGCGAAGGTCACACCCTGATGATTTGACCTTTCAACAGTTTTGACCAGTTTTAAAGGTCAAACTGTTACACCTGCACTTGAACCAGGGCTGCCCTGAGCCACCTGTGGGTGTGATCACCCCGGTTGTCTTGGACTGGGCTGCTGACTTTGAGAGGGCATTAGCCAGGAACAATAAAAACAGAATGCTGCATGTGGTGGCATCTTGTCAGCATCCGTCTGGGACTCTCCTCTTTTTTTTTTTTTGAGTTGGAGTCTCACTCTGTCACCCAGACTGGAGTGCAATGGCCGCTCCCGGCCACCACAGCCTTGACCTGCTGGGCTCTGGCGATCCTTCCGCCTCAGCCTTCCAAGTAACTGGAACTATAGGCGCGCGATACCACGCCCGGCTGATTTTTTGATTTATTGTAGAGATGAGGTCTCGCTGCCCAGGCGGGTCTCGAACCCGCGGGCTCGGGCAATCCACTCACCTCAGCCTCCCAAAGGCGCGGGATTACAGGCTGAGCCACCAAGCCTGGCTTCTCTTTTTAATTTTTCTTGTCAAATATCAATCTTGCTTTCATCTCGTAAGAGCTCAGAGCAAATCCACTTGGGTGAAGTGAGACTGGGTGACCAGAGCTGAGCCTCTACTCAGCGGGCCTCTCCTCTCTAATCAGCACGTTGGAAGTTACTACCCACACCCAGGTAGTCCATAGTGCCTGGCATGGGTACCACCGTGGGACTGTAATCCTTCGAGTCCTGCCTTTCTCCTACAGATGACCTTGGATGTGTACTTGTTAATACTGCCAGGGTGTGACCTTTCCCCCTCCTCCTCCTTGGTACTTAGGGTCAGCCCTGCAAGCTCTCCCTGCTTCCCATTTCCTGCAGGTGTAAGCAGGTGTACACAGGTGTATATGGATGTACACAGGTGGAATATGGGGGTACACAGGTGTTTGCAGGTATACCCAGGTGTATACAGATGTGCACAGGTATATACAGGTGTACACAGATGTCTACAGGTGTACACAGATATATGCTGTCCTCTGCTACCAGGCTGTAAACAGGAGGACTGGTTAGGGAGGTCGCAGAGAGTGTTTCTGTTTGCTTTGTCCGACTGGAGCTGGGAGTTTCATCTGCCTCTGAACATGTCATGGGTACTGAAGTTTCCTTTCTTCCTCTCTCTCTGCATATAGGTATTGAAATTGCCAAAAACAGAGGAGCAAGATATAGGCTTGGCCCAGAGCTGGAAATATGGTGAGAACAGGCACACAAACACCCTGGGGAGGGCAGGCAGCGGTGTCTGCATTAGCTGAGAGGGCAGGGAAGGAGCCGGGAGAGTACTAAGAGCTGTGGACATGCCGAGCCCGTTTTGGAGGTCGTGGGCAACCTGTGAGTGGACCTGGTTAATGCAAGAGCAGGTTTGGGAGGCCAGATAATTCTAGATTCCTTGCTGAGTTGTTAAAGGGACAGAGTTTGACCAGGGCTTAGGGCTGACTTCAAGTTGGGCTGTTCCTGCTACCCCTGCCCTTCTGCCATGGCATGAATGTCTGTATCCCCCAAAAGTCACATGTCGAAACCTACAGGCGATGCATTAAGAGATGGGGTCTCAGCCCGGCTCGGTGGCTCAGCCTGTCATCCCAGCACTTTGGGAGGCTGAGGCAAGTGGATTGCCTGAGCCCATGGGTTTGAGACCAGCCCGAGCAACTTGATAAGACATTGTCTCTACAATAAATAAAAAAAATTAGCCGGGTGTGGTAGCTCACGCCTGTAGTTCTGGCTACCTGGAAGGCTGAGGCAGAAGGATCGCCAGAACCCAGCAGGTCGACGCTGGGGTGACCATGAGTGTGCCACCACACTCCAGTCTGGGCAACAAAGTGAGACTCCAGCTCAAAACAAAAAAAAAAAAATGGGGTCTCTGGGACGTGATTAGGTTGTGAGATGAGTACCCCAAAAGAGAGGCCCGAGGGAGCATGTGTGCCCCCCTGCTGTGAGAGGACACAGGCGGCACTAGCTATGAAATCTGCTGGCACCTTGAACTTGGACTCCCAGCCTTCAGAAGTGTGAACAGTACCTTTCTGTTGCTTATACATGACCCAGTCTAAGATATTTTGTTTCAGTGGCCTGAAGGACTGAGACACCCTCCTAGGTCTTTGCTTTCATATTTGGCCTTATAAAGTTGTCAGTCATGTTCTCAGTGTCTTTCTACAAGCAAGCATAAATGATTGCTTCTGGTATGCCTTTTTTGCAATAAACAGGAAGAGTTTCCTTGATTACCTTTGTCTCTTATTAAAAAGCAATCAGTGCCGGGCTCGGTGGCTCAGCCTGTAATCCCGCACCTTTGGGAGGCTGAGGTGAGTGGA